GTTTTCAAATTCCCACTTCATCAATTGATTCAATTCAAAAGAAAGAAAACTGTGGCCTTTGAATCTTTGCTCACGGAATTAAATAAAACTGTGGTCTTTGAATCTTTGCTCATTGATTCAAGAGTGCCTGGACCGGAGAAGGAAGACACTGAGTTCTTGACCCGGGCACTGATCCGGGTTAATCAGATGAAACGACTCCGAGTCAGCGCTCCCCACCACGTGCTCATAATTCGCCCTCATGTACATCACTTCCTGACCCGACTCCGCCTCCGACCCGAGCGCGAACCCGGCCGGCATTACCCCGGCTCCGACCGTTGTCGACTGCATCATTTTCAGCATCAATTTCACCTTCTCGCTCGCTTTTCTTCTTGCCGCGGACCCGAGTTTGCGGCCGTTGCAGTGAACGGTCCAAATGGGGACAGATCGGAGCGGGCAATCAGCGAGCTGGGGCCGGTCCGACTCGTCGCACTCGAGGGTCACGCGGACGAGCCCGAATCGCATCTCGTTGACTAGCTGGTGGGTCGAGACCGAGAGCTCGAGGAGGAGGGTGGGTTTGGTGGAGAGGCGGTCGTGCTGGATGCACAACCACACGTGGCCGCGGCGGTGGCCGAAGATTGTGCCGATGACCATGGATTTCGAGGGGCGGGTCTGCTGGGGCGGAATCGCCACGCCGTCGTTTTGGGTGGGCGAGGTGGAAGATTGTGAATCTTGGTCCTTGGGGTCTAAGCTTTTGGCGGCGGCGGCGGCGTTGGTGTCGTCCAGGTCGTCGCGCAAGGAGGTGCTGAGGCGTTTCTTGGGGGCGGCGGTGGCGGCGGAGTGGGTGGATTTAGCGGAGGAGGGGGACAAGCAGGGGAGGAGAAATCGACGGAGGGTGTCGATCTTGGTCATGGTTTTTGGGTAATTCGGGTCCGATTTTGGGACTTGGGATTTTATGGTTTCGAATTCCAAATGTTGAAAGGTTGAATCTTCTGGGCTTTAGGAATTTGAGAGGAAGGGGCCTCTGAGAGGTTTTCGAAGTCTGGTGGTGGTGTACGGTTGGTGCAGAGGGAGAGATATATATATACATATATAAATATATACAGAGACTGCGCGGGAAAAGTATGGCAGTGAAAATAGCCGTTGCAAGCGAAGCCTCAGAAACATGACACGTAGCCTAGTCAGCCTTTTGCCTCGTGTAAATAAAGAAAATAAGAAATATGTGAGATCAAATCCAGTTGGCTAGAATACTGTGGAGCTATATAGCACTCAATGTTATAAATGTATAGCTACAAAAGTTAAGGTTTGGACACCTTTCGTTTGTGATTTAGGGTTTAATTTGACAACTTAATCTTCGTCTGATTTCACTATTTACTTTTTTGGATTAATTTTCATTGTTTTAATCGGGTCTCGTAGTTTTTCTTGAATTTTAATTTGTTCTTCATAGTTTCATTAATTCAATCAAGTCTAAGAGTAACAATTAGTTGCAATTTTTTTTTTAATACAAACAACAATAAGAGAGGAAAACATTGAATAAACAAATTATATGTTTTTAATTAACTGAACTACAAACTTAAAAGCAATTAAATAAAATTAATAAAGTAAAAATAAACTCATGGAGTCCCGTAGGCCTCACTCCAAAGGAATGCAAAAGCCCGGGGCTATAGCTAGCACTAGTAGCCTAACACTGGTTGGACCAGGGGGGAACATGGGGCCCTATCTCAATGAAGTGCAGGCTCCATCCTCACGGAGATGAGCTGTTCCTATGGTGGCAGCCTAGGTGGCTACGGCCACTCTGATTTCTAGGACCCCCCTATGGATTTCATACACGCAGACTAATACCGATAGCGGTCCTGAACTTGTTCTCGTGTTTCACTTTAGTCATTCAGTTCAATTTATAATTTGTTGGTACTCCAATTGTGTTACGTGTTTCACATTAGTCATTCTGTCTCACGTCAAACATATTACAGCCACACATTATTCGAATTGGCGCATAAAAAACATCCTAAAGGCTAAGCTTTCGTTTCGTGTCTGGCATTTTGGGAAGAAAACCAACGGCCCTCTTCGTTGTATAGTACAATGTCTGTTGTCTAGAAGACTACAACCCTTTTCCATTGCCTGAGGAGGCACAGTCGGACGGCTTTTCGGAGTGTTGAGCAACGTCGTCATCGTCGGACAGATAATGGCGCGCGAAGAAATGGAAATACACGAAATTTAAGACCCCGAAGGCGGCTATCGTGTAATAGTAGTAATCAAGTCTGTTTTTGTTGAGGTCATTACCTCCCAACCATGATGAATTTCCGTTCAGTCCGCTCAATTTTTTGACCACGTTGATGAGAATGGTGGTTAGGTAGCTTGCAATGGACAAGCTGAGGAAGAAAACCGCCCCGGCGAAAGTCCTCATGCTCTGAGGCCATTGAGTGGTGAGCAGCTCCATCAAGGCAATTGCAGCAAAGGCTTCAACCAGACCCGATAAGGCGAACTGCGGCACGAGCAACGCAACGGTTATTGGTGACTCGAGGGTCCCGTGTGCCAAAGCTGAGTCGCGGCGCTTCATTTCTGTGAGTCCAGCCACTACCATGCAGAGAACTGAGATCACAATACCAATCTTAAACCTCTGCTCCATTGTCAATCTTCCAGTTTCGTTCTTGCCCCGTTTCTGCATTTGAGGAACGTAGATGCTCTCGTAGATGATGATCCATATCGAAAGTGCAATCATCGGTGTTAGGCCCATCCAGGCTGGTGGAATCTGGAATTTGGGGCCAATCGATTTGTTCATTTGAATCGCTTGAAAGATCCCGAATGAACTCATTTGCTGCATGGCTATGAAACAAACAATTCCAGTTATCCAAACAGGCAAAATCCTCACCACAGATTTTAGTTGCTCCACTTGTTGCACACTGCATAATTTCCAACTGTTCTTGGGCTTCCCTTGGCTGTCCAATTCGCTCAGGGTCTACGATCATAGCAGCCTTATCGAAGAACTTGAGTTTGTTGGTACGCGGTACTGTTTCTCTCTCTGACTCTGATCCAACTAGAGGATCATAGTATGACTGCCCTGAAGTTTCTCCAGCATTAGATTTCGAACCACATTTTCTGCAGGTGGCTACTAGAACCTTGATAATGTCGGAAAAGATGCTTCCTTCGGGCTTTACGCGCACGTAAAACCTAGTTCCGAGCAAGAAAATTATAATGGAGAGAGCAAAGCAGCCAGTTGGGACGGCAAAACCCAAAATCCAGCTGACATTCGTCTGAATGTAAACCACGATGGTGAGAGCGATGAGGAGGGCTAGAGTGAACAAGAGGTACCACCAATTGCAAAAGCTATCGAGCTGCGCTCTTCCCTTCTCCGTTGTGGTGTCAAACTGATCAGCTCCAAAGGCAATGTTGCATGGTCTAAGGCCTCCGGATCCAACAACAAGCAACGCGAGACCCAAATACAGGATCGCTATCTGCCAAGTACTCGGCTGTTGGCATTCTGCAGTTTGTGCGATGCAGGCAGACGGAGTTAGTTTATGTATGCCTGCAGTTAAGGTCAGGGTCCCCATTCCCTGTCAAATTGAAACAAGAAGTGTTCGTAGAATCGTTATAAAAATATACACAACGAAAATTCTAGTGAACTAATTTACAGAGTCTTACCAGAAGTGATGCTATCGAGCTGAAAAGAAGAGTATTAAACTTTCCCAAATATTTATCAGCAAGAAAAGCACCAAACAGTGGTGCAATGTTGCATGAGCCAGACCATATATTGAACACATTAGCTGAAACCACATTGTCCAAGTTGTACTTTGTGTGCAGATACACCACCAGATTCGCAATCAAGCTCATGGAAGCCAACTTCTCGAAAGTCTCGTTCCCTTTGGACAAAAAAGGAACACGAATCAAAACACATCGGTACTGGCCTAATCCATCACATTGATAAGAAACCTAAGACCATGAACATACCGAGAATGTATCTGACGGCTCTCCATCCTCCAACCGGACTTTTCTGAGGAAGAGATTGACTCTCTAGCCCTTCAGATGAAGAATGCGCTGCATGCTCCATCGCTTTCCGATGACTTGTTCTCCTCCTCCCTTGTCTTGCTCTGTCGCGTTCTCAATCTTTGTTGCATAGATTGTGGTGGTCTCTGTAAGTTATGGTTTGTTCGACTGACAACTCACACCAACACTTATATGTTGCTGCCTGCGAATCCTGCGGGTAATAAATTTTCTATTTATAACTGATTTGTTCATGAAATAAGGGAAAATGCAGAGACCATGTAATTGATGACTTGTCTTAACGAACTTCTCCAAAAATGGGGGAGTAAACCCGGAACTGCAACACTCACACATAACAAATGAAACCGTACCATGTTATTATTCCCCTCTTGTTTTTCTCTTTTAACTCTAAGCTCAAGTCGTTAACAACAGTTTTATATGTTATACCTTTACCAAGACTCTGCGTTCGATTCTCCCTTCCTCAGTATGTCTTATAAAAATAACGGACTGTCTTCATTTTTTATCTTCAAAATATTGATCTACTTTTAAAGAAATTTTGGCTATGCACTCGCTGAATGTATAATTCACTGTTAATCAAACTTTTATAAGTAGCCAACTCAATCCTCAAGACTTTCAAAATTTTCATCCATTATTCCTTTCATGTTTGTCACTTGGACAACCCGTAAGCCACTTAAGAGGCTATAAACATTTCAAGTCGTGTCTCATCTAAGTGCAGCAAAATGACATTTTTACCCTTTTAAGCGAGTCCACGTGACAAATATGGACAGAATTTTGTTTGAAATGTTGGGGAATCTAACGGTTGAGAGGTGATTGTCTGTTCATAAAGTTGAAAGAGGTAATTGGCTGACATAAAATCTCGTGGTGTAAATCAACCAAAACCTCTTCGTGACTTCGCATCAATCTAGACAAAGCTGCATTTTTCCAGAGTGACCTTCCAACCCATGAACTCCTTTTCTGCGCAGCCTTACGAGCTAATTGAGCGAATACTTGCAGAGAAAGAAAAAGCGACTTTGAGGAAGAACAAATGAAAAGAAGCCAGCATTTTTATTACATCAGGAGCACACCACTCGCAATGCAAGCACTTACATGGTGCCAATTTGAACCATTCATATCCGAATTACCCTGTAAATCCAGCATCTTGTTTATCGATAGAAAAGTACAACACATTCTACTCAGCTTTTTCCAAATTACACAAAAGCATCAAGGATGAAACTACTACGGGATTTAAACTCTTTGGGGGTGACGATTTTGCGCTTGTATAACTGATAAGCAAAAGCCATATCACCAGAAGAGTTGAAATCTGCCCCAGCTAACCTACCCCTCTAAAGCGTATTAGTTACTGCACCCCACTCCATCTAGCCCAGTCTACGAACTGCATTCCCCCATAAACATTGTTTGAAAATCGTACTCCAACAGTAAAAGCCATTGCAACAAGTGGGTTCTGTTTCGCCAAAGGCGATGCCTCTACCAAGCGTTCAAGTCCATTGATGATTTGATAGCGGGTGTTGGAAGAGACAGCAAGGAAAACACCTGGCAGTGGGGGGTGGACAAAAAGAAGACCAAATTATGGAAATGTACTACTCAAGTGACAACGTAAGTAGAGGAAATGCCAACCAGAACCATATGAAATTAAAACATAACGAAACCAAAAATGTTGATAATAGCTCATGGAAGCAAAACTTAAAATCAAAACAGAGCAGTAAACTCGACAATCTAAAACAAATGTAAACAACGAAGAGACGCATACCCCAAAGAGCTGCACTCTTAATTAGAGGTGGAACAGGTATGTCCTCTTCTGACTTCTTTATGCTCCTGACATTAGAAAAATAATTGAGGTCAGCACTTATGCATATTGAAAAAGACTTCTAGTGTTGCATGACCGCAGATAGGCACACATGCACACAATCAGAGTATGTCTAGATAGAAGCGTACCGCTTGGCAGTCATGATCAAGTTTGCAATTCCTTGGCCTATAATACCACATCCAAAGCCTACTGCTCCATACAAAATGCCCTGAAAACAGAGAGGTTAATAAAAAGAATATAATGGACCCAGACGTAGAAAATCATTTGATTATGTATGTGTACATCTTACCTTAAAAAAGTAAGTGGCAATTCTCTGCTTTACAGAATATCTACATCCTGGCCTTTCCGCTTCAAATACACTGCATAAGATCAATTAAGAAACATAATAGATACCCATTATTTTCTAAAGCTGCGAATGAGATTTGACAAGTATGAGTATCATATTACTGTGAAAGGTAAAAAAAATTACGAGTGAATTATAGCTTCAAGTACTATTTTTGGCATGAATTATTCACCTGCTAGGAAGAGCTCCATAAGAATGTTGCAAGCGTCCAAGCAACCCTTTAGATAATGATGGTTTCCCAATACGAGCATAGGGGGCCAACATCCCAACCAAAGCAACATTAACCACCACCCCAACCAAAAGATCTGCAACATACAGCTCAAATTCTGCCCAGAAATCTTTGCCCCTCTTTTGAACTTCCGCAAATGTAGCACAACAAGAATCAATGACTATCTGCATTGTGTTGAATGAATTACTCTCTTGCATATAGAATAAAGAAAAGCAGCAATGGGAAAACCATATCATAGATAATATCAGCCTCAAGCTTATACCAAGCCTTTACAATCTATGATGAACACAAGGATAGCTTATCACAGAATGTGAACCAGGTTTATATATGAGACAAATTATATCCACCAGAATGGAAGATGTATCACACATTAGAGTTGGTACATGAGACAAACTGTATCCATGGGAAGCCAGATTCGAGTACTCACACATTAGAGTTGATAACATCCATGTATTCTTTTTTATGAACAACTGTTGCACTATCTAACATCAATCAGGTAACAAGATGAATAATTTGTGTAAAACTATATGACGACAAGCACAAACCTCCGTTCCAATTTTGAAGAGAAATGATGGATCAGCAAGCATTCGATCACGAAGCATAGAGCATGACCTCATTAAGAAACCTAGAGGCCAGGCTGACCCCTGAAAATTTAAATGTTCAACTATATTAGGAGAAAGAAATACTAGTACTCAAGACGTTAATACACAATTACTGAATAGGAATTTAGCACAGCTATACCTGCAAATCCAGATATCTAAGGAGAAGCACTTTGCGAATTCCCACGCTCTTGGCAGCCTCAATCATATCAGAGGGAAGACTAGCCCCTCGAGCCTCAGTCACTTTCATAATCTCTTCAAATTTCATAATTGGCCCAAACTCTTCTTCTTCTTTATCACCCCCATCACCGTCACCACCACCACCACCTCCTCCTCCACCTCTACCGTTCGTATATTTACCATTACCACCACTACCATCAATCATATCCTTATCACTACCACCACTCTCGGTTTTTGATCCACACTCATTCTCCGAAATCCTCATTTCCTTTTCTACAATAACATCCCCTTCCTCATTCGAAACAGCTATTGTGCCTAACTCGGATTGTGATTCAGCTCGAGCCTCGGACATAGACATGACCGTAAATTTCCGGTCTTTCTTCACCGAAAACGAATTCAGCCTATCTCTAAAGCTACTATTCCTATAGAGCACTGGACAAGCAACCTCCTTTGCATCATTCCTAAACCTTAGTCCATAAGAAATCAAATTCTGGCTCCACATCTTCCCCCGAACGACCTCGTTCCGCAAAGTTGCAACATTCGATATCCCAAAGCTCAAAGAACAAGCCGCCATATATGCCTTTCGAGATCTCAAAAATGTCTAAGTCGATAATGCACTCCCAGAGAAGTCGACGAATTATTACGCAATTGCCACAAACACAAAATCTATGGAATCAAATCAAACAAATTCAATTTATACTCATACAGAGATACACACATATATATAATCGAAGGTGATTAAAACCACAAATCTAAAGAAAATGAAGCACCAATCAGTGAGAAGTTCGTACCTTTAAAGTCTGAGGCAAGAGGTGATTGCACGGAGAAAACGAAGCAAAGTGAGAGGGAAAGTGGGTGGAAGGTAAAATTGATGTTTGGCTGCCGAGAAAGTTGAGGGTTTGAGGATTCGATTCCGAAAGCGATAGCTGGGATTTGGTAGGTGGTTGAGTGAGTGAGTGAGTGAGGGAGTGAGGGAAGCGGAAACTCGAAAGAGAGACGACGTGTTTTTTGGGCTCCTTTTATCCTTTCCTGGTGGAGGCGTTCTGCGCCGTGGTATATTCGTTGGTTTTCCTTTGTTGGGGTTTCATTTTTTCCGCACGTGGGAAATATACGAGAATCTAGGGTTTGAATTGAACACACCACTTGGGTTGCGTTTGATACCGGGAAATGAATTCAACAAAAATGAGAAGGGACATGTTCATTGTCTAAATTACATAGTAATAGAATATTTTTTGTCAACTAAAATAGGGTGAAAGATCATTTAGTCTTTTATCACAATAACAAAAATTAAGGGCAGTAATGTAATTTTACTCTTTTTTGCTTAAGACCTACTCCAACTATTGGAGTAAAACTCAAATTTTAGGTTCTAAACTTATCCCAAAGTGCTCCAATCATTGGGGCAAATATGAGTTAAAACCTAAAACTCATTTCTGGGCCAAATTTAGCCCAGAATTCCCCCTTGGGTTAGCGGGGCCGACCCACCATATATGTGTATTTTTTTTTTTATTTATAAATTCATTGAATCCAACAGCTCAAATCTAATTTGATCAAATCCAACATTAAAAGAAAATATCTAACTGTCTAAATTTAAATCCAACAGCTAAAGTAATTAAAAAAAAATTTATGTGTTTCGTATTCTTTTGTACTGTTCCGCGAGTTTCATGGTGCTGGTTTAGTGATTTTTTTAATATTTATTGGAATCTAAATATTTTTAGATTAAAATGTCCATAAAATTAAATTAGGATAGTCAACATAATTTTTTTTAAAGTTACTTTAAGAAAACAATTATCATAAATTTATTCTTTAATAATCTCGGGCTAACAAATTAACCTAGAAGGGTTGGAGAAGAAAAATTGTTTCTAGGTTAAAAATTTTAGGTTTTAACCCATAGGTTGGAGATAATATAAGCCTCACTACAGATGATTTTAACACCTCTGATTTAAAAAAAAAAATTAAAAAAATTAAAAAATAAACCTCTCTCACTCTCTCCCTATTCATCACTCATTCAATTTAAAAAACAAAAATAAAAAACTTTGCACACACTTTGTGTGTGGGCATGTACTAGTTTATAAGAAATAAATTTGTAAGAAGTGAGTATTATTTATATTTATTTCATATAATGTATTTATTGGCAACTAAAAAATATATAAGAAAAGGTAAATGAATGACGAATAAGAGTTGATGAATGATGGTGGGGAGACGTGGAAGAAATGTACACAAAATTAAAACTAAATACTCAAAAGTTAAAATTATTTTAAGTTTTTTTTCACTTTCAAGATTTTGTTCACATTTATTCTTCCTTATTTCGTCCCCTCCCTCCCTTGACATTTCTTCATCCTTCCCCTTTACCTCATATACTCTTATCTCATCCCAAGTAGAAAAGTAAAAACAAAAAACAAAATGATTATCGAACGGGCACTAAGGGAAAAGAGCAACTTACATGGAACATGTTTACTATTGCATGCTATCCTGATCCAATAAGACAATGCTATAAATTTTTTGGATGAGACGCCACGATGGTATGAATTTGTTCCATATAAGTCTTTCTCCTAAAACAAGAACATTGTTTATCATGTATTTCATTCATTCTAATAACGACTCATGATTTCTCAAACTCCAAGCAAGCAAACATGTATAACTTGCACATGTAATCTCCTCTCACAAATCTCCTATTATGTATTATAAATTTGGATGTCTGGTAGCTATGGGTAACGTACCAAATGATATAGTTGATATTCTACTTTGCACTAATATAAACGGTAAGAAAAGTTTCAAACTAGGATCTCTTAGGGAGCACATTCGCTCTAGCTTATCAGGCAGCAGCATCCACAGCACTTGGAGGGACTTTGTCCTCCACATTCTCACCAGTTCAACCAAAAAATAACAACAAACTACTTTGGCGATGCAGCTTTAATTCCTTAACGATCATAGTATAGTTGTTTAACACTGTCATAGTGTTCTCGTGATTCAGAAAGAATGAGAAGTTTGTGGACGTCCATGGCAGGTTCTAGAAAATTCTTCTTGCCTTGAGGTTTACTATATTACAACGTGTAGTGAAAGTAAACTTATTACACAAGAAACAGTAGCGGCAACAGGTAAAACTTAACCCTGAAACGAAATCTAACAAGCTTAAAATCCAGTGGAGAAAATTCCGTTGAGTGAAACCAAGAAGTCACTTTCTTTCTCAACTGTCAAGGAGCTCCCCTGCCTTAAGCTTTGCAGCCTTGGTGACACCGCTTGGCTCCAACCAACCACGGCTGAAAACAGTGAAAGAATGAGAAGTTAGATGAGAAATTCCATGGCGGTTTTTGGAAAATGCTTTAGGGCAGCTGGAGATGGTTTTGTGCAATCTGGACTACAAGGTTGCCTTCTTGCCATGAAAATTAAATTCTGCAGGGTTCATGTCTTTACTTTTTTTGGATTGCCATGCAGAATGTTCTTCATCAATTATGCAAGAAAAGTCAATTTATTACATCAAATATTTTGCTTCGAGACCGAACGGCAATTATTTCAAGTTAAATGGTTCTTTTATTTCATGACTCATTCGTCACGATTGCCGGCTGTCTATTTAAAAATGGGAGGGAAGGAATAATTGACATTTTTCTTTCTTTCTAAACTCAGTTTATTCAAGTAGCAGATTGGAATCCTAATTGTTTCGAAAATGATGCTTTGCACAATATGTATAGTAAAACATGCACAAATCCGAGACGTCGTTGGTTTTTCTTTTGGGTTAGGCAGTAGCCACGGCAGTATGTGTGCCCCTTGCAACCAAGTTCAATTCCTCTTTTTCATAGATTAGAGTAGTTCCGAGTAATTCAAACTATCGCTTGTAATAAAAGAGTTAGAAATGAAATAGCAGTACTTATTTTTACAAAAGATGCAGTTAAAGTAGAATTTTAGAGAAGCAATTTTTTACATAATCATCTCTCTAACGCTTAAATTGCAATTACTCGTTGTGTGGAGAAGCAACAGCAGATTCACCTTCACATGCAACAGCAGTTTCACCTTCACATGAAACAGAAGATTCACCTTCACATGCAACATCAGATTCAACTTCACATGCAACAGCAGATTCACCTTCAAACGCAACAGAAGATTCACCTTCACATTCTAGTAAAAACTATAGTACTGAATCCATGGTTGGTCTTTTGCTCATCTTCGTCCACATAGGAAATTGATGAAATTGAGGTTCCACCATAAAATCAATTGGTAATATAGGGAGTAGCCCAAGATCATATAAGCACATAGCAAACCTTGTCCCTCACCGATGTGGGACAACTCTTAACACGCCCCCGCATATGTGGTGATTTTCAAGCCTACATGTGGACAACAACTGAGTGACGTGGAGCGCGTGTGGCCGTTGGGCTTCACACATGAACAACCTTACTATGATACCATGAAGAAATTGAGGTTCCACCATAAAACCAATTGGCTATATGGGGAGTAGCCCAAGATCATATAAGCACATAGCAAACCTTGTCCCTCATTGATGTGGGACAACTTTCAACATAAATCCCAATCTCAACGATCTTTGCTGCTTGGATCCTATTGAACTGCCCTTGCAGCCAAGGGCGGATCGACATAGGGACCTGGGAGGTCCCAGGACCCGTCAATGATTCTAAGTCGTTATTATAAATTTTCCGGGGACCCCTTGTACTCGAGTATGAGGTCTGTGCAGGTTGTAGGTTGCAGGTTGCAGTGGCTGTCTTCTTCTCAAAGAAGATGACCGCGCACAGAGAAGAAAGAAAATAGGGACCCTTCCTGCCTCTCTCCTCCTTGCTTCTGCCATGGTCTCATTCGTCGGTGCCACCCACTTCTCCTCTAACCTTTCTCTGTTGTCTGGCAGGGGTAGTACATAAGTCCAAATTTCCCCAAATTATTTCAACCATCTTAGTAATTTTTCTTATGGGTGAAATTTCCTTCATAAGGTTAGTAAGATGGATATGATCTGTCATGGGTTGGTGAAATTTGGGGGTGGAGCTGCTATGGCTTCAGGAGAATGGGGAAGGAGGCTGTTGGTGGAGGTATGGCTGCTTTGTTCTTAGTGGGAGAGAAGGTGGATGTTTGGAAACTAGTAAAAGAGAAAAATGGTGTGTTTGGTTAGAAAGATAGTGGGAGTTTGGAGAGAGTTTTATTTGACCGGTGTTTTAAATTTAGCGGTTCATATTAGATAATCAATAACTTAGGTACTCCCTAGTAACTTATGAAACCTCGTAATAGACGCTTGAATTATGATTTTATAATTTGTAATATTGTTTTGCATATAGTTTTTGAATGAAATGTATTATATTTAAATTTTCAATGTTATTTTTTTCTATAAATTTTTTGACCTTTATAATTAGGACCCCGAGTTTAAAATCCTGAATCCGCCACTGCTTGTAGCCTTCGATTCATCATATCCTCGATCCATAGATCTTTCACAGATTGAATTTTTCGCTTCGCTACCCTCACAAACCTTGTCAGCTCCGGTTCTTGATCATCGGTGTCCTCAACTGCCCAACTTGGAAGGCGAATGCCCTTCATTATCTTTAGAATTACCACCCCATAACTATAAACATCCACTTTTGCAGTGATCAGAAGGTTCAGAGCCTACTAGGGAGCCATATGCCCTTTTGTTCCTCGAATTTGAGAAACCATTCTGTTCAGGTTGCCTCTCTGGGTTAACTTTGCTAGCCCGAAATCTATGAGATTCAATGACTCATTCGTCACGATTGCCGGCTGCCTATTTAAAAACGGGAGGGAAGGAATAATTGACATTTTTCTTTCTTTCTAAACTCAATTTATTCAAGTAGCAGATTGCAATCTTAATTGTTTCAAAAATGATGCTTTGCATAATATGTATAGTAAAACATGCACAAATCCGAGACATCGTTGATTTTTCTTTTAGGTTAAGCAGTAGCCACGGCAGTATGTCTGCCCCTTGCAACCGAGTTCAATTCCTCTTTCTCATAGATTAGAGTAGTTCCGAGTAATTTGAACTATCGCTTGTAATAAAAGAGTTAGAAATGTAATAGCACTACTTATTTTTACAAAAGATGCAGT